TTTTGAAATAGTATTTCAAGATCTTGTATAAACTGCAAGGAGAAAATACACACACCGTGTCATGGTATAGGTCCTTTGAGGGTACTGCTCCTTCTCTGGGACACCCAACATTTCATTATTGCGAGTTCTGATTAGGAGCTGTAAGGACAGAGTGGTGGCATAAGCAGGCTACTCACTGCAGGCAAACAGAATCAGTACTGCTCAGAATAACTCAGACCCAGGCAAAACTGTCCTTTCTCATAGCTCCCAATCTTGGCGGCCTCTTGCCATAGCACCAAGAAGCATGGAGTCTGATCACCTGTGTGCTGAGGAACAGGCAGTAAGATGTGCTTCAGTAAATGAAACTAGAGCATTTAGGGGTTACATGGAATGTTCCAGAACTCCCTTATCCAACAGTAGCCACTGAGTATGTGGGGAGTTGAGCACTTGAACAGCAAAGAGTACAACCAAGGAATCCAGTTTTTTATTTTTATTTTAATTAATTTTAACATAGATAGCCATATCTTGCTCATGGCTGCCATGCTGGATAATCAGGTACTGATCATACAAAACAAAACAATGTTCCATTTAAAATCTTGATCTGTAATGTGATGGTCAAGGAAAGATGGCACCTTCCCCCACCTGAACACTATCAGGGGACCCTGGCACCCTCCAGGGCTGGGGACAGTACTAAGGCAGTGTGTCTCAAAATTCTTATAACCTACTGGATTGGTTAACCTTTCCTTGCTATTTAAACCAGCTGGTGGTGATGGGTGAAATGATGTGTCTCAGGTCATCTCTCTGGTGACTCTGTCCTACCTCAATAGTGAGGGTCCCACTTAACATTCTCAGCAGGACACTGGCTCATTCTCTGGCCTGGCCACAAGGTCTCTAGCCCATCTGTGAATGTCTGCCTGTGGCCTGGGTAACAGGCTGCACTGGGTGGTATGAGCTGAGCGGTACCACCCTGTAAGTGGAGAATCGAGTAGTGCCCTTAAAGGTACATGGCTGTGTGGTGGGCACCCAGACAAAAATCTGTACAGCAGGGGAGGAGGAAGTGGGACAGAGACTAGATGACAGGTAATAAGCAAATGCTGCACAAGGCATGTTGGAATTTGGGGTTATTGGGGGTAAGGGAGGTCACAGGTTGTGTTGGCTGTCATAAGCCGTCACTGCCCTGTGATCTTTTTATGCAGCCTGCTCCACTCTCAGAATGGCCTGCCTAGCCCCTCCAGGCACCTGTTTTCATGGCTTTAGTGGTCTTTCTCTTTTTTGTTTTTGTTTGTTTGGTTGGTTTTTTGGGGGTTTTTGTTTTGTTTTGTTTTTTTGCTATAGGGCGCGTGCACTCGCCAGAGACAGAGAGACAGAAAGCAAGAAATCACCCCCCCCAGGGGGAATGGCCACACTGCAATCCCTTCTCCTCCATTCTCCTCTCGGGATCTTGGGCATGCATGCACACGCGCCCGGCGTGAGTTTTAAGCTACCGGGTCCGGGACGCAAACCATGGTCGACTACATGGGAGTCCAGCGACATAGCCATTACGCTAACTGCTGGTCTCGTGGTCTTTCTCTTTTTGAGGACAGTGGGACCAGCACCATGCGGGCTCTCAGGCATAGTATCATACACATTGTGGCCTCTAGCCTGGATGTCCCTCCACTGAGAGGGAGGAGGGCAAGTTTGGGAACAGCAGTCAGGTGTGCTATTGAGCTAGAGCAGGGGTGCTGGGGAAACAGTGAGGAGATACTTGGTGGTCACCCATATGAGAGGCTTTGCAAGTACAAAATGGCAGCATTCACTGGTCTAGAAGTTTCAGTGCAGTAAAGAGGAGGTGGGGTAACCCCTGCTGAGCTTATGTCCAGAAGGAAAGCCAATTTTGGATCACTGAAAAGAATCCAAATGTTAAAGAGGACCCAAAAAATGTCTTTTTTTTTTCTTTAACAGTAATTATCTGTTAAAAAAAAAATACCATATAAAGAACCCTGCACAATGGGTTTTCACAAAGGGATTCTGTATAGCCAGCGGATTAAGCAGCAGCACATTCTCAACCCATGGGAGCCCCCTGCATGGCTCACCTTATTGCCATACCTTCTCCAAAGCCAGACTTGAGTCCAGCACTGGCGTGGCCTCAGGAGGATAGAGCATGCAGCACACATGAGGAGGTGGCTGGCCCATAGCTACATAGGGTCCTGCTGTCTGGATAGAAGCTAGTCATCATTCTGTTGATGGATGTTTGGGTACTTTCAGTTTAGTCTGTTATGACAGGGCTGCTCAGAGCATCCTGGCAGGGTCATAATGTCCACAGGCACGGGCCTTGCCTGTTGTATTGGGAGTGGAATTGCAGGACATGCACAGTGCACGAGGACCGGGGTTTGCCCAATACTGCATGGCTTCAAGTTCTCTCCTTAAGTTATTGTTTGTCCTCCTTCCTTAGAACAGAATTCTTGTTTCTTGCCACTCTTAAGGATTCACCGTGATTGTTTCTGACTTGTAGGCAGCTGGCCACCCAGATGTCAGGGCTCACTACAGGTGGCTCAACTTGATTTAAAGTTCATTTGGTGCCCAGTAGGATCTGAACAAGCTCTGAGAGTTTGCCAGTTGGAGAGGCGAGTTCTCCCAGGTGGGGGTGATTCTGAGTCCAGTTCAGGGTGCACAGAGCTGCTTTCCTTCAATATATGGTGACACATGAGAGGAAGACAGTGTTTTGTCCCAGGGAAAGGCAGAGGAGGGTAGAAGGTGAATGAGGAGGCAGCAGAGGGTGGTACAGCTGCCCTTCTTCCTGACCTGGGCCACAGGGGCCTTCACAGAACAGTGGCACTATCACTCTGGGCTCTCTGCAGGAGGCCAATGCAGGCACTTCGAGCCGGCAACCGACAGGCATCCTGGTGCATTTAAAAAGTAAATCATGGGCCAGCCCATAATCATCACATAATATGAAAGATACCCAGAAATGACTTACTCTGAGACCTGCTGCAGCAGCTCAGCATGCCCTGTGGGAAGAAATGACTTCTACAGCCAGTTAAAGCCCTATTAGGAAGTGCCAAACTAGGCAGTTCCTTTTTTGCTTCAGTGATTGAAAAATAGGCACTGAATCAGGTGCTGGGGTTCCCTGAAACTGTGCTGGCCCCAAGGGGAGGAATGGTTCTGAGGTCACAGCCCCTGTGCCCCCAGCCTACCTTGTGCATTGACGATCTACACAACTCCCACAGAAATCCTGGCCTGGGCCTCTGTTTCCCAAATGGCCTCCACCCTTGGGGCTGGCCCCGGGGAGTGAGAAACGTGGGCCTGAGTCCACGTGTAAGGTCTGCATATGCCACTGGGAATCCTGACACACTTTCTGGGGTGTCAGGACAGTTTAGGCTAGCCACTGGTGGGTCGGATGGCATCACACTGCCCTCTCCTGGGTGCCAGCTGTGCTAGCTTCATATGAGCTGGTGTGATTTCTCACAAGAGCAGGAAGTGTTTCCAAGCCTGCAAGCTTTGGGTTGAGGGAAAGAAGATGCCTCCACCCCAGGGTCCTGCCTGAGCCCAAGCAGGTCCTGAACACAGCAAATGGCCTTTCCACTCGATTCCATCCTATTTCCTCTTGGTACCAATCCCAAAACTTTATTTTTACATACTATTTTTCATGCCATTATTCAGGATTTGGGCTCCCTAAAAACAGACTGCAGTCTGCAGCTCTGCACTTGGAAGGTCGTGATTCAGAAGCTACAGAATCTGTATTTTCTCTAAGTCTGAAATGTTCTGTTTGAGGCAAGTGCTTTATTTGAACTCTGTTGCTCAAGGCTTAGTTTTGTAAAATCTGACTTTCCATGTTTAGGAGACAGGCTTGTTCACACTTGAGCTTTGGGTATCTTAGGCTGACCTGTGTGGGTACTAGTGCCACCGCATGTGGGGCCCTCACTGTCTCAGAATGTTTCCTGTTCACTTCTTATATTCTTTTCTATTTTTATTAACATAACAATTGGACATTTTCGGAGTACATTGTGATCCTGTGTGGTGATTAAATCAGGGCGAGCAATATGCCCATCATCTAAACCATTTGTCATCACTCTGTTGGGAATATTCAAAATCCTATTTTAGTTTCTCTGATATACAAGTAGGTTGCTAACTGTATTCTCCCTACTCTGTTTTACAACACTGGATATTTTCTCTCTAGTCTGTGATTTTGTTTCCATTAATCAGCATCCCTCTATCCCCATCCCTATCCATCCCTGTCTCTAGTAGCCATTCATCTCTGTTTTTTAAAAAATTATCTAATTTTATTTATTCATTTATTCTAATTTGACCAGAGAGAGAGAGAGAGAGAGGGAAAGTGAGAAAGCAAGCCACCAGGTCCAGGACTCAAGCTATGGTCAGCAATGTGGGACCATCCAGCACCTTAACCACCAGGCCACCTACTGGTCCCATCATCTCTCTACTGCCGTCATTTTTTTCCATTTCTACATATGAGGGAGAACATGTGGTATTTCTCTTTCTGTACTTGGCTTATTTCACTTAATATAATGTCCTGGAGACATACTCATTTAGCTTCAAATGACAGGAGTTCATCCTTTTTAATGGCTGAATATTATTCTGTTGTGTGTATATACCATATTTTCTTTATCCATTTGTCTGTTGATGAAAACAGGTTGATCCCATACCTTGGCTGTTGTGAGCAGTGCTGCAGTAAACACTGAGATACAGATACCTTTACAGCATACTGATTTCCTTTCTTTTGGATATACACCTAGTGGTTGGATTGCTGGGTCACACAGCAGTTCGTGTTTCAGTATTTACTGAGGAACTCCCATACTGTTTTCCATAATGGCTGTACTAATTTACAGTGTAAAAGAAAGCCCCTTCTCCATATCCTCACCCTCTAGACATCTAGATGTCTAGACAGTCTCAAATTAATCCAGACTATGGAGCACTTATAAAATGCATAGCTTTTAAGTCCCTTAGGCTCTAGATGTCTTTACCTACGGGTCTTATAAACATCCCTATCATGAGCTTTCTATTAACTTCTCTTTGTCTTTCTCCAGAATCATGCAAACGGGACTGCAAAGCCACCTTTTCTCAGGTATGTATAACTTCCTACCTGAAGCTCTTCATCCCTTCTCTGCTGGACAAGTAGCCTACAGTGTCCCCTAGGAGGGCCTTTGGCACCCAGCCTAGGACACTTGGTCTCAAGAAAGACCTTAGGCTCTAGAGCCAAGGAAGACCAGCCACCTATTCTCACCACCCTTTATGGACAGTCCTGGGAGCAGGGCCTGGAGGGATGGCCCAGCACCTGCCCAGATCCAGCTCTCCCACATACAACCATCCCCCCAAAACAGGCCTAGAGGAGTGGGCTCTCACAGATCAAAAATGTTTAAAACTTTGGATCACTCTATAACAGGTGGCCTGTTGAAAATCGTCAGAGTAGAACTTCAGAAAACACTGTCCCAAGTTTGCATACAGTAGGAGAAGACCATTCACTGCACAGAACAAAACTAGTAGTTACTAGCTTTTTTATTTAAGAGAGATTTTTGCCATAGGGCCTATGCACTCACCAGACAGAGACAGAAAGCAAGGAATCACCACCCGGGAGGGTGGCCACACCATACCACAATCCCTTCTCCATTTTCCTCTTGGATTCCTGGGTATGCACACACAAGTGCCCAGCATGAGGCTTAAGCCACTGGATCCAAGACTCAAACCATGATCAACTACATGAGAGTCCAGTAATGTAACCCTTTCGTAATGTGCTGGTCCATATTAGCTTTTTCAAAATTGAATTCTCATCCTGGAGCAGTTATTTCTGCAGATATTTTTCTTCTCTCCCCTACAGTGGAGAAAATCCCTTTGCTACTGTGAAGCTCCGACCAACAGTGACAAATGATCGATCAGCGCCAATCATTCGATGAAAAGATGGCCAAGGATTCTCCTGGTTCTCCAATGTTAAGTTCTCACTGCAGAATGATGGGTATCTTGTTTGAGAATGTACTGTGACTGTCATGAAGCTTTGCCAGAGGGTGCCTGATCTTAATATATTCTAAATGAGCAAATCAATGTATTTTCTCAATTTAACATAGCTAGGTTTATAGTTCTGTCTTAAATGAGTAATACTTTGGTGACCACCTTGATCACTTAATTTTCTTCCTATTCTGTTCAAAAACCAGTAAATTTGGTTACAATCTTCACTGTATCATGTTTTAAATATTCTATGAAATATTTTTTAATAACAGAATAAGGGATAGTCTATGCTTTCATGGCTGGCTTTCTGCACCTGAATACAAATGAAGCCAGAGTTTTATTTTATAAAGCATGTGCTCTTAAGTAGCATTATAATGTTCATCTGAAGAAAATATTATGTAAGTTTGCATCTCAGCATGCAAATCATATTTTAAGCAATATAAATTATGAAAAGATTATATAAAATGCAGTAATTTTTTTTAACTTAAAAATGTTCAACTTTTTAATCAAATGAGCTGCCTGAGATGGAGAAAGCCCCAGCCTTCATCCAATATAGACATAGCTGTAGGGGCTGAGACATCTTGCCTACCCTATTACAGCCGTATTTAGCATTTGTGAAGTAGTCTCAAAGAGCTACAGAGTTTGGTCCTTCCAAGCTATGCCTGCATCTATCCATCCAGAGAGACATGTTTCTCTGCAGGCCCTGCTTGTGGAAATCTGCAAAAAGTAACAGCAGTGCTTTCTTGAGTTGTCATTAACTTGGGAGCAGCGTGGCTGCCTTTCCACACTCGGAAACCTGGGCTCGCACTAAGCTAGCAGACCACAGCTGTCCATTTCTATTGGTAACTTACTCTGAAACCTCTTGGGGTACACGTTCCTTCACTTTTGCAATCAGGTACTGACTCACCAATGCCCTCATAAAGCCAGGGTGACCTGTGGTGGTAAGACTGAGAGGGTCTGCATTTCAGCTGAGCAGCCATCATGCTCTCATCGAACCTCGGGGGCTGGCTGATTTCAGGCTCTGCACTGGTGACCCTGGGCCTCTGGCTGCTAGAAATTTGAACCTGTTTTGGAGTGGAGGGTCCTGATTAAAATTTAACACCCCAGCTACTCACATGTTGGGGGGGGGGTGTAGAGGGAGAGGGTCTAAGCTGTTGCTTTTCACATCTCTCTCTTACCATATAAGCTTAAAATTGGTCACAGTCACATGCAGGCAGACCAGTGTGTGTGACACTTCAGACTCCTACTAGCTGGGCCAAGTACAATGTCATACTCCCTCTCCACAGAAAACAAACCAAGCCACCCCTACAGTGGGCTGCTGGCATAGAACTGTGTCAACATCGCCCCCCTCTAAAGGACCACAGGTCTGGGGCAGGCCACATGTAGCACCACCATCTGTCTTGAGGAAAGATGTTCCAGCCAGGAAAGAAAATTGTCACATTCAGTTCTGTGGCCCTCTGCTCCTCGCAACATTTCAGAAAAGCAAGCACAGAGTTCTTGGAAGCCCACTTTTTTTTAGCAATGCGGAAGGAATGAGTATAGATTTTAGGTGTATATTAAGAAAGGGAGGGGACATCAGCCGAGAACTTCAGAGCTCCACTTGCAGGGGTTTTTACTTTGTCACAGGGATAAGTCAAGTCCTAGGCTGATCAGAGCAGCTGTGAGCCCCTTTGGTTCACCCAGTCCTGGGTCCCACATCACACAGGAGAGGGAAAGGCTTGTCTTAGGTCCTTGGCATAGGGGTGACAAGTTACTCTATCACTGTTGAGGTATTAAGTTTGATTTTAATAATAGAGAAATGGAAACAAGCACATTTTCTTGAACTGTAAAGGCCTACTGAGGAACAGATGATGATCTTGTGTGACCATGAAATGAATAAAGGTGAAGCTAGGCAGTGGCTAGTCGTTATTGTGTATCTACTTTCCATAACAAAATGTCGTGAAAGTGACAGTGTGCAAGCGCTGAATAAGCAGAATCAAGTAAACAATAGTATGAATCTCATTTATTTAAAACAGTATTTCTCACCTTTCTCAAATTGAAGACTGCAAAAAATAACAGCAGTGCTTTCTTGAGTTGTCATTAACGTAGGAGCAGCGTGGCTGCCTTTCCACGTGGCTGCCTTTCCACTCGGAAACCTGGGCTCGCACATGCCAATCTATCCACCTCACTTTACAAAACAGTCCTGAAGCTGAATCAAATAAATCTATTGTACACGACATTTACATTAGAAAAAGAGAGCTGGATGTAGGAAAGCCAGAGGTGTTGTTCCCTTTAAGTAAAGGTGGCTCCACAGTTGGGGCATCTTCGCTTCCTCAAGGCAAAACAGCAGATGAAGCCAAAGGGAAACAAGATGATGGCCAAGAAGATGCCCAGGAAGGTGAAGCAGTCCTCCAGCACCCCGACTCTGCGGAGAGACAGGAGGGTTAGGACCCACAACAGCACCCAAGGCTGGCCAGATGGCCCCCCTTAAGTCCCCACCACACTCACCCTGGCACACAGGAACAGACCTATAGCTAGGCTAACAGTGGGCCCTCTGGTGGCTGACTGTGAGTACCTGCCTGAAAAAGAATGAAAAGGCAGCCTTCACGCTCCCTCAGCAACAAACCTCACTCACATAAGACAAGTCTCATTTTGCCGATTTACAGAGCAATGACAATACTGTTGCTATTTACTCACTACATATATAGGGCCAGCAGATGGTGTAGTGGTTAAAGTGCTAGATTCCCACATGGCTGACCACAGTTTGAGTCCTAAAACCAGTGGCTTAAAAATCACACTGGGGGTGTGTGTATACATGCCCAAAACCCCAAGAGAACAAAGAGAAGAAGAAACTGCTATGTGGCCATCCTCCTTGAGGATGAATTCTCACTTTCCCTCTGTCTGGTGAATGCACACACCCTATGGCAAACATAGTTTAAAAAAAAAAAAAAAAAATCACTGCATATAAAACTACCCAGCATTGGGACCAGCAGTTAGTGTAATGGCTATGTCGCTGGACTCCTACGTAGTTGACCGTGGTTCAAGTCCTGGACCCGGTGGCTTAAACTCACGCCGGGCACGTGTGCATGCATGCCCAAGATCCCGGGAGAATGGAGGAGAAGGGATTGTGGCGTGGCCATCCCCCCTGGGAGGTGATTTCTCACTTTCTTGTCTCTCTGTCTGTCTGGTGAGCGTACACGCCCTAGAGGGAAAAAAAAAAAAAAAAACCTACCCAACATTTACAAAGACAAGACTATTCAGTTGTCACACATTTGCTCTTATAAAAGGACAGAGTAGTAAGAACCTCTTTCTAGTTTGGTTAAATATTCTTGCATCTCTGAAAACACTAGAAACTGGGCAAATGGTTGTAGGGTATGTTAGGAGGGAATAATTAGTGAAAGACTAAAATCAGCTAGGTTCACACACTATCTAGATGGCCACTTAAAAATTTTAATCTTTGGGGCAGCAGGTGGCCAACCACAGTTCAAGTCTCGCACCTGGCAACTTGAAATTCATGCCAGGCATGTGTGTGTGCATGCATGCCCAAAATCCCTAGAGAAGGGATTGCAGCATGGCCATCCCCCCAGGGGGGTGATTTCTAGCTTTCTGTCTCTATCTCTCTGGTAAGCACATGCACCCTGTAGTAAAAATTTCTGGGAAAAAAAAAATAAAAAACTTTAAAAGAAATTTAATCTTGGGGTCATCAAGTGGCCTAATGGTTTAAGGTGGCTAGATCCTACCTTGTTGACTATTCAGTTTGATTTGAGTCCTGGACCAAGCAGCTTGAAAACACCACCACATACATATGTGCCCAAAATCCCAAGAGGAGAATGGAAAAGAAGGGACTGCAGCAGAAAAGAAGGGACTACAGCATGGCCCTCCCCACTAGAAAGTGGTTTCTCACTTTCCCTCTCTCAGTCTATGGTGAGCACATAAACTCTATAGCAAAAACTTTCAAGATAATAATCATCAAGACACCCTCTTTTAAAAAAAGTGAGGTTTGCTTTAAATGACTACTGAGGTACCTGAAATCACCCAAATCCCATGCCACTGCACATAGGGTTATCTTAGAGTCCCCAAAGGTAGAAAGTTTGAGCCATAAGCTCTGTCCCTTAGGCTACCTCTGGAAAGTTCTGGACACATCTTAAAAATAAGGATCTCATCAGCCAGCTCAGCCCCAATGAGAAAAGCTTTAGTCTCACCAGACAGCCCTCCGAAGTGCCCCTTCCCAATCTAATACCTGTGCTTCACCAGGAGAACCTGCCAAAGTGCTAATTACCAGGACAGAAGAAACAAAGGACCAGGAAAAGTAGAGGCAAGGCTGGGAAAGATCTCCAGGTGACATCACAGCTGGCCCTAACAGGGGGAAAAGGGCTAAGCAAGGAGGCCAGATGCAGATCACAGCTGGCAGGTCAGGGACATGGCAACCACAAACAAGGAATGCCCAATCTGCTTTAGAGAGGAATGCAATCAGTGGGCTTGCTTAGAACTCCTATGAGGGAAAAAAATGTCACTTGAGATCCCAGAGTACCATCTGGCATCGAGACATTTTTCCCTGTAGGGCATGTATGCTTGCCAGAGAGAGACAGAGACAGTGAGAGGGAAAGTGAGAAATCACACACATACACACACACCCAGGTGAGAGAGAGACAGGAGGGTTAGAACCCAAGACAGCACCTGAGGCCTGTTTGGGGGATGGCCACACTGCAATTCCTCCATTCTCCTGGGATTTGGGGCACACATGCACATATGACTGGCGTGATTCTCAAGCCACCAGGTCCAGGATTCAAACCACAGTTGACCATGAGAGTCCAGCATCCTGACCATCATATCCCCTGCTGGCCTCCTTGACATTTCCAAAGCTGCTAGCTCCCTTCTCTGATATCAACCATTGGGTTCCTCAGCCCCTACCCACATTGCACCATCCTTTCTGCCCACACTGGCCTAGAAGCAACCATTGGCTCCTTTTGCTACCTTGTGTAGAGAGGACAGTCAAAGCTTGACAAATTATCAGACAATAAGGGTTAAGAGCAAATCGCAGTTTCCTGGTCTCAAGATGCCGAAGCAGCAGCTGCTGGTAGCCCTTTCTCAGGCTGCCTTTCTAGGTGCTGCAGAAAAGGGTGCTGTTGTCCACACCCCTGCAGGGCAAGACTGGAGCCAGAGCTGTGCCAGGAATCCCAGCTCCAGTAAGTGTGTCACAGACCTCTCCTTCCCAGAAATAGGACCAGTACATGCTCCCTGCTTCTCTGGGAATATGAAAAAATAAACCAGGATATTCCAAAAGTCTGGCTTTCCTTTCTTTTTTCTTTTTTTTTTTTTTTTTTGAGAGAGAGAGAGAGATTTTTGCTATAGGGCATGTGAGTTTGCCAGAGAGCAAAGACAGACAGAAAGCGAGAAAACCCCCCAGGGAGTATGGCCACACTGCAGTCCCTCCTCCTCCTCCATTCTCCTCTTAAGATTCTGGGCACACACATACATGCGCCCAACATGAGGCTTGAGCCACCGGGCCCAGGGGACAGACTATGGTTAACTACATGGGAGTCTAGCGATGTAACCATTATGCCATCTGCTGGTCCCTAAAAGTCTGATTTTCAACTTCTTAAAAGTCAAACTCGGTGCCCACCTACCAACCTACCTCCAAGAGCCTTACTCAGGAGGGAGTTGCCTAAAGCAAATCTAAAATGGACAGTAAATTCTGGCAGCCTCTCCCAAGGCACTTGTCCCAAAACACTAGTATCCCAAATAAACTCTGCAGCAAGGGGGATTCTTTGGCTAGACAATTTGGGGAAACCTCTCCCCTCCTAGGAAGGTCAGATATGCATTAGTCCACGAAAGGCTAGAAGTCTGCAATAAAGCACCAGGTATATTCATTTCACTCAGTGTTTCCCAAATTCACATGACACTGCCACCATGCATACTGCATGCCACTGGACTGAAGTGTGGGGCCCATAGGGAAGCCCTGCACTAAGGCAAAGTCAATCAGCAAGCCTGAGTCTGTTAGCAAAATTACCATTTTCTGTGTGTACTTTTTAAAAAGCATCCTTGGGACCAGCAGATAATGTGGCAGTTACGTCACTGGACCCCCACATGGGCGCCCACAGTTCAAGTCCTGGACCCAGTGCCTTCAAACTCACACCAGGCACATGTGCATGTGTGCCCAAGATCCCAGGAGAACAAAGAAAGGATTGTGGTGTGGCCATCCCCCTGGAGGAGTGATTCCTCGCTTTCTGTCTCTCTCTCTCTCCAGCAAGCACACACACCCAATAGCAAAAATCTCACCCAAAAAAAGCATCCTAGGTACTACAAGGTCATTGAGTCACCACCTTGCTCTTTAGCTGCCCCACAAGTCCTGGGGAGCAAGATGCCTCTACCCAACAGTGCCAAGTACATGGCACACTCGGCCCAGGCTTCACCAAGTACCAGGCTGGCAGAGGACCCAATTGAAAATCACCTGAGGCCAATATTGCCAAAGTGGGACAAAGGGGAGTGGCGCCTCAGGAAGACCCTAAGCCACCAGCTATGTCCCCACATACAGACAGACACAACAGGCTGCCCTGGGCTGAGCTTCCAGACTGGCTGGAGGAAGGCCAGGTGGCCTTTGACCACTGAAAAACGCTTACGGATTCTGTTTCTTCCTGGCATCTGCACGATGTGCTACCTGCAACTCCCAAGGAACACCCAGGTCCGCATGTTTCAAGGCAGAGGGCAAAAGCAAGCCAGCAGAGAAAACCTTCCAAAGGGAAGGCCTGCCCTCTGAGAGAGCCCCCTCAGAGGTCTGTGATGAAACCAGGGGCATCTGGAACCAACGAACCCCAGGACAGTAACTGTCTGCCTAAACACCTGCCCGGGCTACTCACTGAAGGACCAAAGCTGTCAGGAAGCAGAGCCAGAAGAGCTGTTTGTTTGCTCCAAAGCTCCAGGAGCTGCCAAGGAGGAGGATAGGGCCAGGTTGGGTGCTGGCTGGTTATCCTTGGTACCCTGGAGCTGGGCACAAAGCCCCTGGCTAACCAAGCCCTCTAGGTGTGATGGAGCTGGGCTGGAGGCTTTCCCATGTTGCCTGGTGTGCTTTTCTGATGAGCTATGCCTTCTGCAGGTTGCTGCTGTCCTCTGGGGTCAAGTGTTCCAGGGCAACAGCCTGTACCTCCATCCTCCCTAGTTCTCCATCCAAACCCCAAAACCTGTGTCTACACAGGGGTAGCTGGAGAAAGCCTAAGGCGGCTGGTCATCCTCATTTGGGCTCTCCCTGCCCCAAGACCTTAGCACTGAGATTCACAGCAACTCCCAGGATCACAACCCAACACTTTAGTGCTCAGCCCCTGGAGCTGCTCAGAGACTTGAAAAAGAAAGCAGAGCCATGGGGGAAACTGCCCAGCCTTGCCCCCCGCACCGGAAAACACCCACATTGCTCCTCAAAAGCACTGAAGT